CGTCTTAGCGTTGTACGAAAATCCGGTACGCAATCAGATAAGTGAAAGGGTCTAGCATTTATGAGACACCGGAATTTTTACGTGGAAAACCCCTGAATAGGGGGAAAACCCACGGGACCTAGCCCAGTTTGAATGAATCCACTAGTATTGCAGTCGATTACAAATAAGGCCCTTCCTTGGGAGAAGGCCTTAGCTTGATGTACATTTTATAGAGTACATTACATGATATGAATACAACGAATCACTATTGACATGTTCGTTTGGTCGGGAGGACCGTAGTCGGCGGGCGGCGGAGGTCGGAAGGCTTGTAGTCCGTGGGCGACGTAAGTTAGGAGGACCGTAGTCGGCTGGCGACAGAGGTCGGAAGGACCGTAGTCGGCTAGCGACGGAGGTGAGAAGGATAGTTATCTTGCGAGGGAGGTTGGAAGGACTGTGTCTGACGATGAAGGTCAGAAGGACGGCGTCATGTAGAAGTCCAACAATGGAAAGAAATTCATATTTGGATATACGTCTAGCGAAAGTCCGATAACCGGTAGAAATCCGATATTGGGTAGAAACTTGGCGAAGAGTGAAGGTCAGGTGTCGGGTAAAAGTCCGACGTCTGTTGGTGGACGAGGAGAACTCCGGCATCACTTTGGGCAGAGTTTCGGCGTCAGGAGGGAACTCTGTCGTTAATTAAGAAGAATTTCCGTATCCCATGGAATTTGGGCAGAATTCTGGCGTTCTCCCGAATATCCGGCAGAGTTTCGGCGTATTCATGTGGCGGGAAGAGCTCCGGCGGTGGTCGAGTAGGAGATGATTCTCCTTTTCCCCTTTCTCCTCTTCTTATCTTCTTCTTCTCTCTCTTCACTTGAGCCCCTTGTGAAGAATGAGGACTCTATTTATAGTTTTTCTAGAGAGGCATGGCTTGTAAATATGTGTGAGATCAGGGGCGAACAGGGAGTGGTTGAATGGACGGCTAATATTGAATCATTTGATCATACACCGTTCGTCAGCCATTTGAAGGCCTTAGTGATGTCGGAATCCGGAGATCTTGGGCTCGTTGGATTCGTCTCATCAAGCCGTTCGATTCGAGTATAAGCTCGTTAAAATCAGAGACCGTTTGGTAACTCAAATTGTGGTTTGAACCTTCCAACAGTGCTTCGGGTACTTGATTTGGACCCATTTGGGCTCGGATTGGGTTGAATTTGGTGTCGTTGGGTTCGTATTTCCGAGACGCTCAGTTTGACTGTAAGCTCGCTGAAATCGGAGTTCGGGTGCTCCCGGATTTAATTTTTGACATTTCCGGGTTGGGATTTGCATCGAGATTCGTGCCCAACCAAGATAATTTCATGATAACGTATCAATATATATATATATACACACACACGAGAAGATTGTGGGAAATCAGATCATTATGTGAATTGTTGTTAAGCGATCGGCATTATGATTCGGTGCCCCTAATATTTAGATTCAGGTTTAGTTTGGTATAGTTTAATTAATATTATTTTTTTAAAAATTTCTTGTATAAAATTTTCTTGAACTTAAAATTTTTTATAGTAGAAAATTGCTTTAGAAATCATTTAAAATGTTATCCCAAATAAATTCTTGATGACTAAGGATTGGTAATTGAAAATTTTATAAATACGACTTAAGGTTGTCGCTGCTCCGACGTCAACCGAGGATATTCATTTATAAATAAAATTTTTTATGTTGAAAATTTTGACTAAGTCAATGTAATTCTTTTTCTAAAATTGATATTTATTGATACGTTACTGAAAATTGTCTTGATCCAGCACAAATCTCGAAGCATTTTGAAGTTGTAAACTTACAAAATTAAATTATGGACCATATAAACTCTAATTTCAACAAACGTATAGTCGAATTAAACATCTCAAGAACCGAAATCAGTATGATCGGAGATCAAATGGGTTCAAACAAAGGGACCGAAGCTCATTTTGAAAGTTCAAACCATTAATTAGATGACCAACTGATATCTAAATATAATATGCTTATAGTCGAATCAAGTGACTCGACAAGACAAATCCAATTAGCCCAAAATCGTTGACTGTTATTGATATTATGATTACTGATATCTAAATATTTTTTACTATCATTAACATTATTTAACGTTATTGATCATGATATTAATATTATTATTGAATTAGTATTGTTGACTGTTATTGATATTATGATTAATGATGCAATGAATTGAGATGTGATGAATTATAGAAGAATAAATTAATATAGATAATTAGTATAAATATTGATGCATATATTTTTTTATATGATTTATAATATATTGTTCTATTTTATCTTGCTTTAATTTCAATTGTAAAATTTTAATTACTTATTAGGTTATAGACTCATTATGTAGTTTTACATATTATCATGAAAGAGTAAGGATCTTATGATATGATGTTCTGGACAAGACAAAAATGCAATCATATTTTTTTATGATGTTCATTGGTAAACTCTAGTTAAATGGTTAAAATAAAAGATAGATGTAATTCTTCCAATATAAATCCTGGAGTGTAACACGACTATTATCGGACCATCACATGACTATCGACCGATGCTGGACTTCCACCCGAAAGTCAAACATTACTCGACTTTCGCCTGACCTTCGTC